AGCAGCCACAGCTCCCGAAATGTGACACCCGGGGCTCAGCTGGTGCTGCTGGCCCTGCACGGGGGCTGGGGGCAGGCAGGGGGACACAGGCGGTGGCAGAACAGGGATCAGTGCTGGAATGAGGAGGGGAAATGTGAAGGGACAGCACAGAGTGATGAGCACAGACTGGGGACAAACTGCTGGCTGATGTGGGGACATCAGGGAGACTGCAGTGAAATGATCCTGTCCTCCTTGGGACAGCCAGTGAGCAGCTGGAGCAGAGAATTCCAGAATCCCAGGTGGTTTGGATAGGAAGGGACCTTAAAGACCTGAAGGGAAAGATGGAGAGAGATCTTTTACAAAGGGATGGAGGGACAGCACACAGGGAATGGTTCCCACTGCCAGAGGGCAGGGATGGATGGGAGATTGGGAATTGGGAATTGTTCCCTGGCAGGGTGGGCAGGCCCTGGGATAGAATTCCCAGATTTGCTGTGGCTGCCCCTGGATCCTTGGCAATGCCCAAGGCCAGGCTGGACACTGGGGCTGGAGCAGCCTGGGACAGTGGGAGGTGTCCCTGCCATGGAAGGTGTCCCTGCCATGACAGGGATGAACCTGGATGAGCTTTAATGCCTCACCCAATCCAAACCATTCTGGGATTCTTTGATTCTCATTCCATGGCCAGGGAGCTCAGGCTGTGCCTGTTTGCCCTCAGCACCTCCCATGCCTTCACCTCCGGTGGCCTTTGGGCTGGGACAGAGGAGCTGCTGCACACACACGCACGTGAAGGAGGGAAGAAGTTTTTCCTGGCGCGTCTCCAGCCCTGCCCTGCTCTGTGGAACACCCAGCTCCTCTCCCTGCCCTTCCCTTTCCCGGCCAGGTTCCAAGGGCTCAGCTGGACACGCACGTGCCGAGGCCAGTGGGACACGTCCCTGCAGAGCTCAGCTCCTGCCTCTGCTCCCTCCTCCCCCTCCTGGGGCTGCCAAACCATGGGGAACAGAGGAATGTCCCCAAGGGGCTGGGATCCCACTCTGCACTCACCATCGAGCAGCCAGTGCTGCTCCCGCCGCTTCGAGGAATGTCCCCAAGGGGCTGGGATCCCACTCTGCACTCACCATCGAGCAGCCAGTGCTGCTCCCGCCGCTTCTCCAGCTCGGCCATCATCACGCGGGTGATGACGTGGTCAGGCACCAGCAGCCCTCTGTCCAGGTACTGCTGGGCCAGGGCTCCAGCTTCTGCTCCAGACAGGAAAGAAAAATAGATGGGGAAAAGAAAAATCATGACATTTCCACTTCAAAAAATATCACTCCCCCTCATATTCTGCCTGGGAGATTGTTGGCAGTGTCGCTGTGCTCGTGGTGGAAGTGCCACAGGGTCCTTTTGGGGTGGAGGAGTGGGAATTCCTGAGGTACCTGGGAGCAGCAGTGTGCTGGGCCTCAGCCAAGCCACACTGATGGAGAGAGAAGCGCTGGGTGTGCTCCTGTGGTTTGGGACATGGCTCCCATGTGGGCACAGGTAGGGACTGCCCCAAACACCTGAGCCTGCTTCCCATCCCCAGGGCTGAAGGATTTCCCAGCCTCCACTTAGGATAAGCTCAGGTAAGAAAATTATTGCCAAGATCACATCCTTGAGAACATAATTGTGGTAATTGCAAGGTAAGTGCACATTGCTGGGCTCCTGCCTGGCTCTCCTTAGCCTCAGCTCCTTCTGGAAGCTGGAGAGGGACTGGGGACACGGGATGGAGGGACAGGACACATGGAATGGCTCTCACTGCCAGAGGGCAGGGATGGATGGGATAATGGGGAAGAATTCCTGGCTGGGAGGGTGGAGAAGACTTGGAATAGAATTCCCAGATTTACTGTGGCTGCCCTGGATCCCTGGCAGTGCCCAAGGCCAGGCTGGAGCACCCTGGGACAGTGGGAGGTGTCCCTGCCATGGCAGGGAGTTGAACTGGATGAACTTTAAGGTCCTTTCCAACTCAAACAATTCCACTGTGGATGTTTGCCATGATTTTCTTTCAGCCCCTCAGAAACACAAAGAAAACATTTGGAAAATGGAAATATTCTTTGTCCCTGTGTGTGACAAGCCCTGCTCCTGCCCCAGAAGAGCTCCAGCCCCTTTCCCTTGGACCAGGACCCCACGGACATCCTTTCTGCTGTCTTTCCACAGCAGCTGAAATAGCATTTATCACCAGAAATGAACAATCCCCTGATCTATTTTTTGCACCCTTTCTGGTGAGGACAGCACATTTCAGCCCTCTCCAAGTGAGAGTCCTCTCTAAAAATAACCCCAGGATGCTGCACTGGAGGCAGCTCCAGCTCGTCCACATGGGCAGCACCAGCACCTGCCTGGGGTGAACTCCTCAGCTGCAGGAGTTTCTGCTAGGTAAGCAATTCTTGGAGAGGATTCATCTGTTCTAAGGGAAGAACCAGCCTGGGCAGGGGTTTGGTTTTGGCCCCTCAGTTTGGGAAGGACATTGGGACACTGGAGCTCATCCAGAGGGGGCAACGAGGCTGGAGAGGGGCTGGGAACACAAACCCTGTGAGGAANCCCTGACACACAGGGGTCAGCTCCTGTTCTCACTCTGACAGTGGTTTTTTTTTCTTTTTTTGTACTATTGCATTTGTATTTTTAATTTTCCTGGTAAATAACTGTTATTCCCATTCCCATATCTTTACTTAAGAGCCCATTAATTTCAAAATCATAATAATTTGGAGGGAGAGGGTTTGCATTCTCCATTTCACAGGAAGCTCCTGCACTCCTTAGCAGACACCTGTCTGTTCAAACCGTGACATTGCCCCCTATGCTGCTCTGGGAATGTGGCAGCAGAACAGCCCCAGGATGTGGCTCCAGAGCCAGGAATTCCATCTCCAAGCAGTTTCCAGACTTGTACAGGGATAAATCAGTGAGGTTTGGCCTGGAGTTGGGGATGGCCATGTGGTTCCTCCCTGTGGATCAGGGAATGGTGTCCCAGCCTTGTGACAGCAGAGCACATTCCCAGGGTGGGATGTGATGTTCCAGGGAAAATCTGGGATGGTTTGTGGGGATCCAGGTGGAGAAAAGGGCATCAAATGATCCAACCCCTTCTCAACCCCCCTGACGTTCAGCAATTCCAAAGTGGCTCTGCCTGTCTCATTCATCTCTAACAAAAAGCACAGGAGGTTCTGAGATGGTTTGGGCTGGGTTTAAATGTTAAACTCGATTTAACCTTCAGCAGAGGAAGCCTTGAGCCTTTGCTGCAGCGAACGCCAGCCCAGTTCTCAGGGCCTGGCTGCAGCTGAGTGCTCCCTCTGAGGATGCTCAGGATGACACAGGATGTGACAAATTTTCAACCCTCAATATCTTCTTCCCCCTCCTTTCCTCCCTGTGAGAGCACACCCATTAACTCCCCTGCTGTGTCAGCACATCCTTCATTCCTTGCCTTTCAGTCTTGTTAAAAAGCTGTCAGGGATGATCCACAATTTACTCATCCCAGCCCAGGACTTGGTTTTGGGGTGTTCAAGGCTTTGCCTGGCTCCTCAGGCACGCTGAGCTGCAGAGCTGCCTGCCAAGGGCTGCTGTAGCTGCTAAAAACATCCATGGCTCACAAAGGAAGAGGAGAAAGGGATGGGAAGTGGATCTATAAGAGGCCATTAAATAGGAAATGCTGGCTCAGGAAGTCCCCAGCCTGCAAAATGTTGGAAAATCAGAGGCTGCACAGCCATTCACCATCAGGTATTTTGGGAAAAATCAGATATTTTGCGGCCTAACTGCTGTTTGCTCATCATTTCCCATTCACTGCGAGGTAAGTGGTTAAACCCTGAGGAAAATCTGGGCACTGGGTGCTGTCTGCACTGGAAAATGGCTGGTGGGGAAAACAGGGAGGAAAATTATACAACCAAGTGTCATCCTGGGGTTGCATCAGCTGCAGCTGCTGAGCTCAGGGTCAGGCCCCAGCAGCAGAGAACTCCATGGGAATGGCCAGGACATGGTCTCAGGTAGCTCTGAGCCCTCAGGGAAATCAGATTTTCCATGAAAACTGAGGGAAATCCCAGCTGGGGCTGCCATCCCTTCCCCAGGAGGGACAGTGTGAGGGTTTCCTGAGGGGGAATGGTGTTCCCTTCCTCCAGGCCTCACTGGGATGGATTTCCTGGGTGGATATTTAAGAGAGGCCCAGGGCAGGAAGATACAGAAGGCTCTGGTAGCACAGGAAAGTTGGCCAGAAACAACACAACCCCATTGATGTGTTTCTACCTTCTGCCAGAATTTAGGTTTTTACCTAAAGCTAACAGGAAAAATTGTATTATTAAAGCTTTGCTGCTCTGGCTGATATAAAATATTCTGAAATTGTGTTTGTCTCAGCTTGTGGTGACTTGCAGGTCCTGACTGAGGCAGTTTGGGTTCAGGTTTATGAATGAGCATCACTTCCAAAGGGACCCACAGGGCTGCTCGTGCTCTCTGCCACATCCTGGTTTTAATCCATGTGAGCTCTGAGCTTTGGGGTGGTGGTCAAAGCACAGACACCCAGTTTGGTGTGGGAATGGAGTTCAGCTGGCACAGGGTGCCCAGAGCAGCTGTGGCTGCCCCTGGATCCCTGGCAGTGCCCAAGGCCAGGCTGGAGCAGCCTGGCACAGTGAAGGTGTCCCTGCCATGGCAGGGGTGGCACTGGCTGGGCTTTGAGCCCATCCAACCCAAATATTCCATAATTCCTTGGCTTTGGATGAAAATTCAGCCTGGGGACATCCTTGGGGACATGCCAGCCAGGGATCAGGCTGGGATTGTCCCTCTCCCTTCTCTTGGTGTCCATTTCCACCAGGACAGGTGACAAACCCCCTCTGAGCACTGGGTGGGTTCCTCGGGGTCACCCCACTGGGAATGCTCTCCTGGAGTGTCCCCAAGACCCAAATCCATGGAAAACCCTGTGGGCACAGAGCGCTGACTCAGCTCTGAGCCACTTAACTCTGAAACAATGCACTGGGAGCTCTGTGGGGACCCAAACCCTTCCCAAAGGAATGCCAGGAGGGAATGGGGGAGAGCTGGGTGCACCCACCCCTCACAGACATCGGGGAAACCTCTGCTGGATGAGAGCAACCTGCGCTTCCTGCAGTTTTCCATGAAAACTCTCACTTGGAAAAGGAATTCAAATGGTTTTAAGATAATTTCCTTTTTACTTCCAATCATGATCTGAGGAAGAGAATAAATTCAAATTTTCCTGCATGGCGAAAGTCCCATTTCAGAGGATTTGGAGCAAATCCTGCCCCTGGTCTCAGTCTCCCTGCCTGATTTTGCCCTGCACCCCCAATTTCTCCATCTCTCCCTTTCCCAGCCTTAATTCATGGATCTAAATTCCCATCCTTATTATTTCTGGCTGCTGAGGACAAGGAGTTATTCAAGAGAAAGAAATCCATATGTTGTTTGTGTCCATCAAGCAGGGCCTCATCCACTTTTGGGACTGTGAGAGCTCATAAAATACTGTTTCTAGCTTGGTATAATGATATTTAAAATTTTAATAAAACACTAAACCCCTTGTAAAAACATTAACACCATAGAATTATTAGTGGGAACCATTAATTATTTATAATTTCATATAAATTATAAATTTACATTTTATATATAAATATATAATATAAGTATAATTTTATTTCCCTATTTATGGCACTTTAATTGGAGAGTTTCCCACGGCTGCTTTATGCACCCCTGAAGAAGCATCTATAATCCAATTTTTATGGGATTTACATCATCTCTGCCTGCTACATCCACAGAATTCTGGAATTTCCAGGCTGTGTTCCCAAAAATCTGGGACCTGTGGGCAGCTCTAGTGGTTTGTAGAGGTTTCCTGATCCCTGGAGCTCGGGCAGGACTGAATTAATTGTTGGACTCGATGATCTCAGAGGGCTTTTCCCACCTGGATGATTTGGGGATTCTGGGAGAGGAGCAGCCCCCTCTTTGAATCAGAATGTTTGCCATGGATGATTTGCATCCTTTGCCACATCCCTGTAGTGGTGCCAACCCCAATTCCCACCCTGAGGGGCAATTCCAGCCCCTGAGCAGAGCCGGGTGTGTTCCTGGAGGGATTGAGCCCCAAAATCCCAACTGCCACCCCAAAACCTGCCTGGCACCCCCTAGGCTCTCCCTTATACAATCCATCATCTCCCAGCAGCTTTTCCCAGCGGAGCAGGAGGGATTGGAGCCAATCCTGCCCCAAACCTGCGGCTCCGGGCCGGGATTAGGCTGCGCCGGGGATTAGTTGGCTCAGC